CGCTACCTTTTCCCACCTATTCTGTTCTCTTCTTGTTTCCTTCTTGCTTCATCTTTCTTGACGTTTGATGATACGATCTCCATCTCTCCTTCTTTACACACACACACAAGTACCTCGTCTCGTTTATCACACACAAGTTAATTAATGAATGTCCGTGTCAATGTACCCGCTACCCACCCACGATCTCTTTCCCTTCTTTAAATCCTTCTTACCTACATACTTTCTAGCCTTTTTACCCTTTTTTTTTTGCTCGCTTGCTTGCTTAGCTATTCAATCAAGTTGCTTTTCCCAGCCCCTTGCTTACACGCTGACGCTGTTACAAATTTACGTGCGCTCTTTCTTTACACTTTTAACATTCTCCTACGTTTTCTTTCGACTATTGCGATTGATCAGAGTACATATATCAGCTACGTAGCAGAATTATTGTTTTTTCCTGTGCAAGTATATATACATGTACATACATGTCTGTGTCTTTTTGTACATATATATATACATACGTATACAGAGGCAAAATAAAAATGATATCTATTTATCTCTCTTCAGTGTGCTAGTCCAGTTTCCCACAGTCGCTGCCTGTCATATTACCTGGCTGCTGGTGTTTGGGATAAACTTTTGAGAAAAATAGACAGGACAGCACTGCACTGCATAGTGTTGATACACTGAGCAGGTAACTAAACATCAATCCTCTGTAGATTTATGAATACATTTATCTTCAGATTTTATTACCTTTTTCTTCAAAGGCCGAAGTCAAGCAAATCGTTGTAAGGAGAATTTTTCCTGATTTGAAACTTTTAGGGTTCCATAACTATCACAAGGTGGTTTATTGTCATTTTGATCATATCACTTGAATGTTTCAGCCCACATTGCTCCCTGGAGAGAAATATCAGGATATAGGGGTATTTGCATTTACATCCGACTCCTCAGTGAGTGAGTATGAAGACACAGAGCTTCCTTTTACCCTTTCATTCATAAGTTTACTATTTGTCACTATTCTTGATAGACCATTCACAATAACTCAGACTTATCCTAATGCAATTTCCCTTTTTGTGTACATAATTTGTCGTAACACATGAAAATTTCTGGTACCCAAGTCACTTTACAGGTTCAGCGTATTTCCTCATACCACAAAATTAATTGTCATGCAAACTGTAGTAAAAGTGCTTTCTCAATTACGAGGCCGGAGTTTCGTAGGTCTCGTTCTCAAGGTTGTGAGGTGTGGCTGTGACTGCCAACCCTGTTTGGGCAATTACGTGTGACCTTGCCGGTTACTTGACAACATTCGACAGCTATCGTTCTTTGCCAGTCTCATACTTGCCGCCATGCGCTAGCAATGGCCTACATCCTTTTCATATGTTTGTGGAAGCAGTGAGGACATGCATCTCAGAAAGATAAGGTACATTCTCTACATGCCCATGAAGGCCGTGATTTTGAGTCAAATCATAGGGAGGAAAACTATCCTATGCTATATCTGCAGCAAATGATTATCTTACATACCTGAACGTTCCTAGTTCTATTCTGCGACATCAAATGAAGTTGTTCGGCCTTTTGTTCATATTATTTATATGCCGAATCATATCATCACAACTCTGATTCTAGTGGTTAAATTGGCAATAATCACTCACATTGTTCTCTCGGACACCGAGATCTCCTCAAGACTTTGCGTGGATCATCCTGACAACTTCTCCAGGTGTGATAAGGGAAAATCACTACTAATCAAGGAATTAGACTATTCTGGTTTGCAAGGTGTTTGAAACAGTAGGGGAAAACAGCAATGAAAAGCACTCAACAAATCAAAATTGAATTAATTATAAAGGTAAGATTTATTATCCCCAATTATTCAAATCAATTAATCACAAATCACAATATATCAATAATTGTAATTTATCCTGATTAGGACTAACATCAATAATGCTGTTCTGTGTGATCCAAAGATTCTCCGCAATGATAAACGGCATCCGTACTAGTCAATAGATTTTTACTAGGAAAGACAAGGATGAGTAAAAATGAGACAGATGAACTTGCTGATAGGTTTAAAGCTGGATATAAAACTCGCAGTGGAACTATAGACTACCTGTGATCATCCCCATCTTCAAGTTCTACAATCTCTTGGTTGCCCTTACACCATGTCATTGGAGGCCCAAAAGTCCCTACCCTTGGCTGACCAAGATCTTGATATTCTGAGACAATGGGTGGTTGAGACTGCAGTTGTATACATGTTGTTCGGTGTTCATGTAGCACTGTCCATGACAGCTGTTTATCTAATTTTGTATGTATTCTGGTCCAAATGATAAAATAAAAAGTGGCTAATTATTCCGCATTACAAAGGGCCCGTGGTCTGCAGCAATCAAAAGCTCGAAGATGGTTATCATCCTTTGTCATATTCATGCTTACAACTTCAACTATCACCAACATCCTTTCTATCAGATATATTCTACTTCAGTTGCCAATGAATGGATACAATCCACCAGATATTGATCATGCCAACTTACAGTTAACGGAAGGTACAATTGCAAGTGATTGGTTAGGGAGACTGAATGTAAGGATGATGCATTTTGCAACTCTTAGAACACCAATGAAACACTTTAATTTTCAGTATCTCATAAATGATGGAATTGTTGTTTGGAGAGCATGGATACTGTTTCCTGATGATATTTTAGTGAGAATTTGCCTTACAGTCTGCATGATTGGATCATGTGGTAAGTAAATATTTCCTCAATATGCACCTGAATTGCACTCCTTATGGTATTGATATAGCTGGAACTTTTGTGGATGCTGGCATTGCTGCTGCAAAAGATTCCAAAGATCTTACAAAGGGAAAGGTGGATATGCTTGTAATGGCCCTTCCCCTTCTGATCACAAATCTTGTCGCAACGCTTCTTATTGCTTACAAAACCTGGTCAGTTCACCTCAATTGTTTATGTTTGGAGACTAGATACTCGACTAAAAGGTGCCATCATCAAGACATCAAAAACAACCTCAGCCAAAGTGGTAGTTCAATAACCAAAGTGGAAAAGATTCTGGTTTTGTTAGTTGAGTCTGGCCTAATATATTGCCTAATTTGGGTGAGAAAAGCCAGCTCCCAGCTCAATGCAGCACTATATTCCTTCTTTTCAGATTTCATTCACTGCAATATCAACACAAACTCAAGGCTTAACCTTTCAAATCTATTCTGGAGTAATGCCAATCATATCTGTTAGTTTTTTATTCAATTTTTCCAAAGATGTTATATTAAAGTTAGGGAAATGATTTAGGCTATCTATCCAGTCCTTATTGTTCTTATAGCAGCACCTGAGAACTTCAAGGATGACACCTTGAATTACCCATCCTTGTCTCAATCCATAAGATTTGCCCCCTTACCAGTAGCAGTGTCTGACTCATTTGCCTCTGATACAGCACATGTAAATCACTCTACATAGGATAGATTGGAGTAATGGGCTGAAAATGTAGGTCTTGATGCACTAAATGATATCAAGGCTTTTTTGTTTGAGAGATCTGTTCAAGGCAATTTTTTCTCTACATAAGCTACATGGTAGTTCAAGATGCACAGACACAGCCTTTTTTTCGTTGGGTGCTCTTTCTGGGCTCCTGAATATTTAGTAGTGAAAATTTTAAGTCCTCTAATATGCAAATTAGTACCAATTGAGAGGGCATATTTTAGGAAGAGTGCATGTTGCCAGAAAGGGCCAAAAATAATTTCCAAAGCATTGAGGCTTCATCAAATTCTCAAGTTTTGCTAATCATAATGTGTGCATACTGGTTTAGCTTGAATACTATGCCTTACAATTAGCAGATAAAACTCTATATTAGTTAAGATGCAGTCTGCATTTGTGTTTCAGATACTTCTAGCTCTTGTCTTGTTGATGATGATCGGTCTGAACCTTGTCCACTCAGTGACTCAAGTTTGTTGTATACTTTGTGTGCCATCACAGTGTTAAAAGAAAAATTAGCTTTTTCATTAATGAATTTATTATATAAAAGTGAAGAGAGTGCAAGTAAACTTCTTTGTATTCTAACTTCTCAGCTCCTGAGAAAATAGCTCAACAATAAAATACAAGAATAGCTCCAGACAAGCTGTGGGTTGTGGCCCTCATTTTCTTGCAGATGGCTTGAATGGATTTTCCAAAAAAAAATTGACTTAGGAAATGCAGGTTCTCAAAAGTAGCCTACCTATTATGGAAGGGTGAGGGCTCCACTTGACTTTCAAAAACTCACAACTGAATCCACAGCTTGTCCAAGATAAAATATTGAGCAGCTTGCAAGATACAGTCCATATTATAAGGGGACTATCACTTTTTCATGATGATGAGTATACATATAGCTTTATCAAATACTGAGTTTTCCTTGCTGGACTTGTCTGGCTTTTATTAAGTTACAAAATGTATTAGTTTGTTGACAGCAATGTAACTTCCTCCAAAATTTATATAGCTGAAGTTAACTTGTGAGAAAAACTGGTGAGCTTGTGACAAGGCCGAATTTTATAAGGACTTGTCTTTGCTAACACAGTCTCATAGCTAGTCATGCAAAAATCAAAAACAAGTTGTTGTAACCAGTTACTATACTGTGCAAGTAAAAACCTCCACTTGCCATCACACACTTGTTTGTACACCAACAGACCAATAGCTCAGTGGTTTAGAGTGAGGTCACTAGTTATGCCTAGGCATCAGTGTTTTGACAAGATACTGGTCACTGGTTATCACTGGTATGACTAGTGAAAAATCTGATTGATAACTGACCAGTATATATGATAGAATATATGTACTGTAAAGTTAAAGGAGGATTTAATACATCTAAACAACCTTTTAAGTAACTCCGGGTACAATTTGTCTGGGTTGTCGGTGCTGCGTCGGATAGGCCCCGAACATCGTCCCTGACAACGACAGCACTAATTATATTACACCATGTGATGTCAGGAATATTGCCGGCAATGTGATACATGATGCCAAGATGTTGTAAGCATCATCCGTGAAGTTTTCTGTACTTACCACAAGATTGTGCATACTTTACCAATAGTTTACTGGTAGAAAAAAATTTTCGGTTGGTGCACTGGTGACTGGTTTGCTGGTTTGGGCTGGTACCAGCTGGTACCAGTTAAAACCAGTAACTCGTCAAAATACTGATGGGTCCTGGGTTCAATCCCCAGTTGGTCCAAGTCATATTTATCCCGAGATCAAGTCACCACAAGACAAGTTTACAAATAGCAGATATTTTAATTGTTTATCTCATCGTGAGATAAACAACTCCGATGACTATTGATGAGTCATTCTTATTCTGTATGTTGTATGTTATCTGATCTTGAAGCAAACTTTGAGAGCTCAAAGAGCCATGGGTGTCTGTGTTGAGTGAAGCAAACTGGGTTGATTGAGATAAAGCCTAGATTTTTATTCACAATCAGTCAAGATCCAAACGCCAAATGAAATTTCGAAACTTACTGGTAAACGTGGCATCAAAGCACTAAAAATATTCCATGCTAAAGACTGCGTGGAGGCACCATACAAGGAACTCATGACCACAAACAGGACCTCAAAGGATTCAATATATAGTGGATGTGGTGATAGATCATAGCTAAAAGGTATGTACCCAAGGAACTAACAGCAAAAGAACCCTCCTGGCAGAAGAGCTACAGAGATACCCACAGCAGCAGCACAACACAAATAGGTCCAATGCTACCTTGACAATAAACTCCTCTTGATATATTATCCATGCTCACTAGAGTACAACGGCATCATTGATGAGATACCTATATTATCAATAAATATCTCTATAATTTTACCAATTTCCACCCAGGATGTACCTGAACTTGCATTAAGGTTTGATTGACCCCATCTTGACCAGCTTGTACAAGCCAAAAAAAGCCGGTCAACAAGGTCAAGTGGCAAGTAGATCCCAGCATGTTTTTATCACAAGCTGGGTTCTCAATATTTATATAAAAATGAATAGAGTTTAATATATTACCTGAATTGTAGCTTGACAAGTCAACAAGCCAGGTAAGTGAATCAATTAAATCAGGCATTTCCACAATGTGGTTGACTGAGAAAGAATGTATAATATTAATGTGTGAGATAATATATAGCAAATCTGAGTCTTGGGTTGAGCTAAATGCAGAAAGATGAAATTGGCAAGACACATATTAAAAAAAGGCCTGAATTGCAACTGATTGTCAACTGAACACAAACAAAAGCCATTTGATTGCTTCCTGAAAGATCTGTCACTTGTGGAAATATCAGAATGGCCCGGGGAAAAAGGACTAGCCTGAGAGTGCTGTAATTAATCAGATATGGAATCAGACAAGCCATCTCAAACACCCCAATTTATGTGTGCATGATTCACATAAACAGAGCAAGAATAGTTCCCAATTTGGGTTATTTGACAATAATATTAGAATGATATAGATACCGGGATCTCAGGCAGCATGAGATCCAAACTGCAACTTACCCAAAGAAAGATGAGCTCAATTTGTTGAGCGGGAGAAGCTGTTGCAAAGCAGCATTTCGGGGTCACATCTGCAACAAAAACATTGAATGACCCCACTTTCCTCTCAGGAATTTCAATTTACTGATTGAAAATTCTCAGAATCATCATTACAGATGATGTAGGGCCGAGACTCTTGATTCTAAATGGGAATGCCCCTCACCAATATATTGCAAGTACTTGTGTTGTGATCCTACTTTAGATCAGAATCAATAAACAACATCACCTTCTGATAAGGGTTATTTTTAGAGCCAAAATTACATATAAACACTACCAATAGCCAGATATTGAATACACCTCTACCCCCCAAAAAGCAGAATCTTCAGTGTCTGTATCATCATCAGTTTACATGCTACATTATCTGATCTCCACTACCATACAGGCATATATCTGGAGTTCTCAAACATTACCCTTCTTCAAATTCTCAAGTTGAGTTAACCATAATGTGTGGTAATAGCTTAGGTTGATTACCATATCTCACAATTAGTGATTAGCAGATCAAACTCTATATTGTTGAAGATGCAGTCCACATTCTTGCTTCAGATACTGCTGGCTCTCATCTTGTTGATGATGATTGATCTGAACTTTGCCCAACCAGTGACTCAAGCTTGTTGTGCATTTTGCGGTGCCCGGTGTTAGAAGAGTTGGCTGTTTTATCGAGCAGATTTACATAAGTAATATCATCATCCAAGTCAGTCTCAATATATAGACCTCTGATTTTCATCATTTCTATTTCCTGTAACTTTATTCCTGTTTTTCATTTTGGGAGTTTCAAATTTCTGTATTACCAATATGGTTCAATCTCTGGCTTACATGTCAATTCTATGTGGCAATTCCTGGGAAGAGAGCATAGCGATGATAGGACAAGATGTCACTTCATCATGCCCAGATTGACAATACTCTCCCTTTGTCTAGTCTTCCACATCTATCCTTTAACTTATTTAAAAGAGGCTGGGACTTGATTGACTGAAAGCAAGCACAGGAAGTTGTAGAACAAAAAATTTTATGTCAATGATGCAGATCAATAGTGTTGTTGAAAGTGTGGTTGCTGTAAGAATGCATAATATTATCTTTTGTTTTGTGAAATGATATGTAGTGGATCTGATTTTATATTTGGTTGCTCTTTGGTCTTGATTTGAGCCAAATGTGAAAAAATGAAATTGGCAAGGTACATACAGAAAAAGGGCCCAAATTGTGACTGAGAGTGTTATGCTGCCTGAAAGGGGCCAAAAATAATTTCCGAAACAAACGTTGATTTTCAGAAACATTGAGCGTGACATGTGACATCTCAAGATTTCCGAAATAAACATAACTTATCTACTTCCGAAATATGAACTTTAATCACTCTGAAATATAAACTTTGACCACTCCGAAATATAAACTTTCAACTCCAAGAATTTTACTTTGAAACTTTAAACCAAAATTTTGAAGTTGCAAAATCTTATCTTATCAGCTTATCTCAGCTACTGCCGCATTTCCAAATTCGGAAATCTCTTTCAGATTACGTGATTCTATTTATTGTATAAAGTCAATTCTTGAAAGACATTAACAGAGTACTGTTAGTAACAATAGTCCCTAGCTAACTAAAGTTGAAGTTGAATGTACAGAAGTGAGTACTGAGCAAGTGTAAGCTGAGCTGCAGCTTCAGCTGGTCATTAATTTTTACCTATATATAGTAATTTAAAGTAGTTTTCGGCTCATTGTTCATGGTGAAGTCCAAAATTGGCTGATAATCCCATCTAAGCAAGCCTAAATTTCCATATTTGGATGCTATAAAAGCAAATGACTTCAGCCAAGCTGAGAAGCTCTTCACATGTGACTAAGCCAGCTGCTCTCAGCTAGCTTTTAAGCTGTTACAACACTAATTGTTACTTACAGTTAATGTCTCTTGATAAATAGAATCACATAATCTGAATGAGATTTCCAAATTTGGAAATGCGGCAGTAGCTGGGATAAACTGATAGGATACGATTTTACAACTTCGAAATTTTGATCTAAAGTTTCAAAGTAAAATTCTTAGAGTTCAAAAAGTTTATATTTCGGAGTGGGCAAAGTTTATATTTCGGAAGTAGGTAAGTTGTGTTTATTTCGGAAATCTTGAGGTGTCACATGTCATGCTCAATGTTTCGGAAATCATTTTTGGCCCCTTTCGGGCAGCATAGAGTGTCAACTGAATACCGAACAAAGACCACTCTATTACTTCCTGAAAAATCCATTGCTTGATGGTGGAAAGATCAGAATGGGAAAAAGAACTAGAGTGCTGTGGTTGATCAGACATGAGATGAGAAATCATGTCAAGCAGCACTCCAAATTTATATGCGCTCACTTTACATAAAAATGGTGGAAATAGTTTCTGATTCGTTGAAGGTAGCATTAAACTGATATAAATACCAGGACCCTAGAGTAATTTAACCAAAGAGGGATGCACTCAATTCGTCAAGCAGAAGAAGCTGTTGCGAAACAGTATTATCAGACCACATTCGCATCAAAAAAATTGAATGGCCCGCCTTCCTGTCAAGGTAATCAGGTCACTAATTAAAATTTCATTGCAGACGATGTAGGGCTGAATTAGAGAAATATCACTTATTGTTGCCAATGACACGGATTACTTTCTGCAACCCAAAATAGCATTTTCCAAAATATAGAAAGTATTCGGATGCTTTTACTCTTTGATGCCTGAATTCAAAACAGGAATCCTTCACTAATATATACATTACAGGTACTTGTGTTCTCATCTCACTTTAGATTATAAAAAATGTCACCATCTGATAAGGGCTATTTTCTGAGACACAACCACATATAAATGCTGTCAATCCTGGATATTAAGTATATCTCTACTTTCCAGAAGCAGAATCTTCAGTGTCTGTATTAACATTAGTCTACATGTTGGCTTCATTATCTGATCTCCGCTATCATACAGGCATATACCTACAGTTCTTGGACATCGGCCTTCATCAAAGTCTCAAGTTTTGCTAGTCATAATGTACACATAATGGTTTAGCTTGAATACTATACCTCACAATCAGTAGATAAAACTCTATATTAGTTAAGATGCAGTCTGCTTTTTTGTTCCAGATACTGCGAGCCTTGTTGATGATGATTGGTCTGAACCTTGCCCACCCAATGACTCAAGCTTGTTGTATACTCTGTGTCCTATCAGAGTGTTAAAAGAAGAATTAGCTTTTTCATTGATGAAATTTATTATATAAAGTGAAGAGAGTGCAAATAGATTTTTTTGTATTCTAACTTCTCAGCTCCTGAAGAAATAACTCATCAATTAAAATACAAGAATAGACTAAAACAAATTGTGGGTTGTTTCTTGCAGATGGCTTGAATAGATTTTTTTAAAAAACATTGACTTAGGAAATGTGAGTTTTCAAAAGTAGCCTTATTATGGAAGGGTTAGGGTCCCACTTGACCTTCAAAACTCACAGCTAAATCCACAGCTTGTCCAAGATAAAAATATCGAGCAGTTTGTAAGATATAGTCCATATTATAGGGGACTATTACTCTTTCACGATAATGAATGTACATATAGCTTTATCATTAAATGCTGAGTTTTCCTTGCTGGACTTGTCTGGCTTGTTTGTTACAAGTTACAAAATGTATTAGTTTTTGACAGCAATGTCACTCTCACTGAAATTTAAATAGCTGAAGTCAACTTGTGAGAAGATCCAGTGAG